AGGCGAAATATCCATCAAAAAACCGTAAGTTAGACAAACTGTCCGTTCAGCAATGTATCTTTAGGCAAATTGTCGTTAGGCTAAATGTCTTTAGGCAAATTGACCGGTCACGGATGAAAATATACATGGTTTGTGAGGGGAGTGACAGTGAACGTTAATAGTAAAGAATAATTAAGGGGTGATGTGTCATCGGCGAGGGGATTTGCATCAGTGGCGCATTCCTCATGTCGTCAAGGTGGTATGAATCGAAGTCGAGAGGATATGATGGTTGGGAAAGGTGCGGAGAAACGATTCATCGCCGGTACAAAAGAGAATATTTCGAGTGATGAGGGATCGTCATCCTCATCAACGTGAGTTTTTATTATTAGTTGTTAATATGGTGTATCTATGGGTATATCTGACATTAACCGAATAACCATTAAAGAAGTACAACCTCGAGTGAAGAGGATGACGATGACGATAACGAACCGGCAGCTTACCGTCGAAAGAAACTGAAGAATCGCAAGGATGATGATGGACTGCCGACCGAAGGAATTCCATTATCACCAGATGCAAATGCTGAAGATGTATCGTCTGATGACACTAGTTCAGAGGGTGAGGCCGAGGTTGCAGATGGTGAGGAGAATAATAATGGTTACGTTGAAAAGAAGAGGGCATCTGATAAGAATGATAAGGAACGAGATGGCGGTGATAATGGAACGGTCAGTGATAACGACAGCAATGGTGAAGGTGATTATGTGGATAACGGAGATGAGGAGGAGAATGAGAGTGATGAAGATAAGGTTTGTGAAATTGTTGGTTCGGTGGTGTTTTGCTTTAATGGATCGGTGGAATGGATTGCGTGATATTGATGATGATTGTTTTTATATTTTGTATTGTTTTTATAAAATGGTTTTTTATGTTTTGTTTTGTTTTTATAAGTTGGATTTTCATATTTTGTTTTTAGTTCATGGTAAGCTATTTAAAGTTATTCGATTATTGCAGTGGATTGTGATCTCAATAAGGTTTAGGG